GTTTCCGTTGGGGTCGGTACCGATGGCTTAGGAGGCCGCGCATGTGTGCCGGGGGGCCCAGCCCTGCCTGCCCCTTTCGGGAGGGGGAAGATGAAGAATTTCAGCAGCGGTTGACCTGAAATGACATTTTGCTGCTTCTGTTTTTCTCACAGCTTTCGCAGCGAGGTGAGATCTCCGTCCCTGCAAGCCGCTCACCCTTCAAATGCACACGCGTGCCTGTGTGTCATTTCAGGTTAACTGAAGTGACTGCTTCAATTTGAAACAGGAGCTGTTGTTTCATTTTTCGGGTTGCTTAACCCCCTCCTAACTGTAATAAACACGGTGATTAAGGACACAAAAATATTACCCTGGAGGAAGGGGACCAAAAGCTTGGAAAAGGATGAAAGAAACACTTTGATTACCCCTTTTAAAAGTATGTTTCTTTAGCTGAAGCTGCTAAATTTGACTCGACTTTACACACTGGAAAGGTTTTGCGGTTTGTTGTTTTGTGTTTTTTTTTTTTACAGTGAATAAAGTGTTTTTTCCTCATAAAAACCCCCACCAACTCTCAGGCCGAGTGATGCAGTTTCGATGTGTCACAGGGGCAGGGTTAGTGCCGATCCCACTCCCGGGAAGGTCGGTGTAAACACCAAAACACAAAACTCTGGTCTCAAGCAGGGCTCCAGGTGCCCGAAACCAGCATCTGGCCCCCCTCGCTGTCACGGTACACGTTGGGTTTTTTTCAGAGGAGGTCTGGAAAGGGCCATGTTTCACCCCAGTTTCATGCTGAGAGGCATCCAGGGCTTTGGTCTCAGCTCCTGGAGGACTAAATCCCCTACCCAGGGGACATGGGGACATCGGGGGTTTGAAGCTGAGAGCTCCTCTGCAGCCGGTCCTAGCCCGAGGAGGGCTAGGGCAGGGAAAGGCAGGCAAGCCCAAACTCCAACCGCAAAAGATCTCCAGCGAGTTGGGTCACCGTGCCTCAGTTTCCCCACATGCCCCGTGGAGATAACGCTATTGCCACACAGGCCTTTGGCAAAGCACTCGGAGACCAACTTCCACAAGGACTCATTACCAGGGAGCTGGAGCCGTGGGACACCTGGGGTGCTGATAATTCACCTCATCCTAAGGCAGGTGTTTAAAATAGCTCCTGTGACTCACTGTGCCGAGAAGGGCCAAAGGGTTTCAGACGCTGCCTCGGGGGCAGCTGAATGTTTTCCTTGCGTCGGGGACACGAGGTGAGATGCCACCTCCAAGTCCTCGGCTCTTCAGGTCCCTGCGGTGAGTCTGGCCCCCGCTCCCCAGGTGACTTTTCTCCTCTGCGTTTTTCCAGCCGTGGCAGAAGTTTGGCTGTTGCTCATCTCCTATTCCCAGAAAGGGATGTGGAAAATATAAATGTCCCTCTTGCTGCGGCTTCAGGCTCCCCTGGCCAGTCCTTTCTGCATCACCAAGCACCTTAGCCGGGGATGGATGTGTACAGGAAGCCACAGGTGTGATGAGTGCTGGCCCTTTGCAAGTCCTCAGTCATCCATGGGATGCAGTGCTCCCAGAATGGGACATCCGACGGCCTGAAATCTCATCCTGGTCCTGCTTCATCATTTTTTTCCCACTTTCTGAATTGTGGGTGCTCCCCTTCCTGACACTGGGGAGCCCTAAAAGTTGTGAAAGGGAGGCGGGAGAGTGATGCTGGCTTCGAATCACTTCCTGCTGGATAACTGCTGCATCTTCATCCTCTCCTGTCATAGCTGACGGCCCCAAAGGGCAGTGAACATCCCCCCGTCAACAAGAAACAAGGGCTGAAAAGGCCGTTTCCTTTCCTCCAGGCCCTGCGTGCGGTCCCCATGCCACGATGCAGCGGTGATGGGGAGCATAGAGAGAAGCGTCACCAATCGATGCTGCAGCTGCCCATCTTCAGGTCTCCCATCATGTCTACCATGGTCCTTTCCCCACGGCAGAGGTCCAGGACACAAATCTGGTGGCTCTTGACCTCGTGAAGGTTATTACCGCACAGGATGGCTGGTGTGCAGGGGATCAAACACGCACCGATCCTTTTCCAACACCCAAACCTTGGATGCACCCAGTCACCCTGGCAGGACAAGATGGTACCCTGGGTGATCCCACTGTCCGGGGACACGATGGCACTCTTCCCCTCCTGCGGCACAGGCCGGCTGGGGACAAAAATCAGCAGCAACAGACAGAAACAAAGTGGCTATCAGCACCCCAGCCCTGTGCCGGACCTGCTGGGCCTTTTTGCGGCGAGTTTTCTAAGAAATACTGCAGCAGTTAGCGAGCGTTTACGGGAAGGGTGGGCCAAGCTCAGCCTGCAGCCGGGGCACCGCGATAGTGTTTTGGTGGTGCCGGGGGAGGACAGTGGCCGCGCGAGGGGCTCGGGCTCCTTGTGGTAGCAAGCAGGGAGGTTTGCTTTCGTGTAAGAGCAGCTTCCCGGATGGTCCGGGGGAAAAAGTGAGAAAGCAGGTTAAATACAAACCACAACTCAAAATAGGCCTAAACTTTGAAGGCGTTTGGAGCTGCGCTTCCTGCTTCTAGCAGCCCCAAGCAGGAGATGAAAGATGCAGCTGAGTAAAAAAAAAAAGCAAAACAAACAACAGAGTTAACACTTTCTGCTGAAGGCGGAGGCACAGCAGTGACAGAGCACACCAGGTCACCCCACAAGGCTGGAACACGGCTCCAGGACCTCCCGTTCCCTAGGATAGCCGCCCCATGGCTCGGAGA